GCCAGTCGGCGTGTCTATATGGAGAGAGCATTGTCACAGCTTAATGGATAAGTCTACTGACAACAAGCATTTTACGTCAGCTGTCAATACGCCCTCACTCACATGGCAAGACACCAATGTATGAGAGGCTGAAATGAGATCAAATACTTTCAGAGCTTAAATACATTTTTCTGTAAGCTGGATGTGATTATGTGGCTGAGTGTGTGCATGAGAATGTGTGCCTTTGTGTTTGTGTGCGTGCATTTGAATGTGTGTCTCTGTGTTTGTTTGTGTGTGTGTGTGCATGTGTGTGTCACCACAGTTGGAGGTGTTTAATGAGTGCTGATCGATGTCTCATCTGTGCCATCTTATCTCTAAAGCAAACATTTCATCAGCACAATGGAACCGTTCAGCCTTTGGTACACACAGAGACCCCAAAAGACAAACTGCCCAAACCAAACAATGTATGCAAATAAGACAAAGACAGACATGCTTTTGTTCATATCCCACTGTTACAGAAGATTACCTAATTAGTGTAGTAAGAATACACCAGTAAAGATGTCTGTTCAGTGTCTTTGCGGGTGTGAAAGTGGGTGGGGTGGGCTGGGGTGTGGTGGAGGTGCATTTGCTCTGCAGACAGAAGTACACGCCGATAGTGTTTACTGTCCTCTGTGAGTAAAGTGATTTCTGACAACTCCTAAATGAAGCCCTGGGGGTGGCGAGGCCTGCAGCTAGATCACAGACCTGCTTTATGACTGTTTGTGTGTGAGAGAGTTAGAGACCAAGGTAATAGCTTGGCGAGGAGTTGAGTCGATAAGTGATCTAGCCTGTCTCCGATAGAGAATGAGGTGGGAGGTATCATCACTGAGTTTAGATGCCAAAATAAGACAAAACCTACAGGTTTATTTCTGGAATAAAATGATTGCTCTGCAGTTCTGTTACACGTACAGATTTGCCGTGAGCCACCAAATAGTACCAGAAGAAAATGAATGAGGAGAGGTGAGACAGGAAGATGTGGATTAAAGAATAAGGCTAGAGTTATTCTATATTTTAGAATCAACAAATCCCATTAAAAGACAGAAACCAGCAATATGTATGTCTGTCTCATAGTACTTCAGCCCCAAACACAGTTGTTCCTATTGAATACAGGACAAAAACTTTTTAAAAATTCAATGTTTTTTTTTAAGCTCTAATTTCAGCTGAAAAAATTGCACACAACAAAAAGACAGAAATAGTGATTTTTTTGGGCACTAGAGAGTATTTCACTGCAGTAGGACGAAGTGTGTTGTGCCTCTCATGAATTACCATTACAATTGAGTCACAGAGCTTTTCTGAAAGACAAATACCAGGTGATCTTTGAAAAACCCAGTGGGTGGTTTAACAACATTTACCACTGTTCTGAATGTATTTCTAGCATCCTTAAAGACTCCTCTAACCGCATGGATGAAAAATACTCCACCATGGCACAATAAAAAAAGATTTTTAACCCATTTCCCAAATAGTGATCGTGAGTCACAACCAGGGAGCTGGAAATGACATATCATCGTAAAAGAACACATTATTTTGCAATCAAATAAGTCATTGAGTTTCTGGAAATACCCTCTGGACAACAGTAAATGTCGTGAAGGAGGCTAAATCAGGAGTTATATTTGGGATTGCCCATGTTCATCCTGATGAAGTTACAACACTTTATACATTTTTAATAGTTTTTGGACAACAAACTCACAGAGGAATAAGTTACATCAGGCTTTGGTGACACAAACAATACTGTCACTTCGATCAATTCATTGTTGGCGAGAGAGGGAGGAGAAGAAGCAGTGGCAGAGCAGATATGAGTATGCAGGACGTATGTTCAATTGGCCGAGTCTACAGGGGCTGTTATTGACTGACAGCCCTGACTAAGCCATCCACATCGCTGCTGATCCCCCCCTTAATGTCCAGGGCTTACCTTGTGTGTCCAGACGTACAATTGTGGGTGGCTGGATGTGCACCAGCCATGCATTTTTTCTATTAGTGTGCGTTTATGTGTGAGTATGTGTTTAGCTCTGCTGCCTTTACAAGTGCCAGTTGATGGCTAAGCAGAAGACAGATCCAGGCATGCACTCATAGCAGCTGTTTCTGAATGGATCCAGCGGCCATTGTTCTCCTGTCACTAACTCGTCTCTCAGGCCCAGGAGACACACCGCTGACATTTACCAGACCCTCCCCCCCTCCTGCCTCACCCTCTCCTCATCTCTTCCCTCCCACCATCCTCTTCCTCTCTCATTCTCTCTCTCCTACTGCTTCCATCAAGTCCCTCGCTCATTCTTTCTTTCTGTCACTCCATCTCTTTCTATGGCATGATGTGCGGGGACAGATGTGTGCGGATATATGTGTGTGTGTGTGTATGTGTGTGTGTGTGAGAGAGAGAGACAGAGTGAGTGTTTGTCTTAATGAGTGGCC